TATATTTCTAGCCCGTATTAATATAATATTTTTAAAACATTTTTCATTATTGTTTTGTATTTAAGAAATAAACTTTATTGAATTATACATGCAATTTATATACGTTATTAAGATCAATCTAAAGATGCGCAAAGAGCATCAAAAGTTGTTAAATTGTTAGTCAATTTAATTCGTGATATTTACTGCGGTAGTTTAGTAGTGTTACGTTTCAAGTCTGAAGAAAATTCGGCGCGCGATTAAGAATCTACAAACGTAGTATATAAATTCATACGCAGTTATATAGAAGCACCCGAGATCTAGCTTGACCGTTACGGCATGTTCTCATCGGTATTCATTTGGTTTAAATTCTCACGGTTCAATAAGATTTGATATTTATATATGCATATATATTTACAAGTCTGATTGCAGAATACTTATCATAAAAAATACATGTCGAATTATGGTACATACTAATTATAATTTGAGCTCTTATTGCCATTTTAGCTTCTTTAGACATCTTTTCGTGTTATAATGTGAAACTGACACTCAACTTTTGCTATATGTTTAATCCCAATTGTCACGTTCGTCGACTGAGCTGACTTTGTCTATAAAAGTTGAAATGATGTTTGTGGTAATGATGACAAAACGTTTTGTGATGAGGCGCTGTTTATATTTTTGTTTCTGAATATTGAAATTGTATTCCATAATGTCGATTTTATTTTTGAAGGTATAATTTAGTGAGAATATATATACAATATACACATATTATATATAATACGTATACACACATTTTGTTGTAATTACATAAACAGTGTAAAAATATATTTTAAATTAATGTATCAATGATTCAGAAGAGTAGAAATTGCCAATTAAACAAGAAAAAGAATAAAAATAAAAATATATATTCATATTAAATATATAGATATTAAAAATAAAATAAATTGATGCTTATTATTAACACATAAATTGAAAAATTCGATATATTAGACTGATCATTTATGAATATATGTACTTTTTCCCATAATTACACAAGAAACTAGTATTATTAGTTTCTCGTGAAGAAAAGAATCTATAAAAGAAATATTAAAAATTAAAAAAGTTTTTTTAATTTAGAGTTTACAAGTCTGAAAAGATTTTAATATAAGAGTAATTCATTATCGGAATCGTACGCACGAGGAAAAGTATTCACAATATGAGAAAAAAAGACAGATCAGAAATACCCCGTAGAATCCATTTTATTTACAGTGTCTTGTTTTTTTTCTGGCTAAATTAGTGTATACTTTTAGAATTTAAAGTGAGACAGGTATAATATTTAATATTTGATGAAACCGAGAAAGAGAGTGCTAGTGCAGTCTAGTGTGGCAATAAAAAATAGATCTAATGAATCGTAGTCGCGCGCAAAACGTGACATGATTTGGAGAAAAGCGCGCGGCCCAGTGTGGGCATGCAGTGCAATACCATCTAACGGATACCGACGGAATTAGCCAGTGCGCCGGAGTGTTTTTATAGGACGCCGTGGGGCGGCGCGCAAGCGCAAACTCGCAATCGTCCGCCCTTTTCCCGCCGCGCTGTCGCTGACGACTGTCGGGCGGCCAGTAGCAGCTGACCGATGGGAGCGTTCGGAGTAGTTCCTTCTGTATTCGGCTTCGCGGTCCTCGTATTCGTGCGTGTCGCGTAAGCCCGTGTGTTTCTCGGCGTGATCCGTCAGTCGACGGTCAACGCTCGTCGCTTGCGATCTAAATAAATCAAGCCGGCGCCGAAAGAAGAAATTCACGAGAACGGCCGCATCTTCTGCGTCGATTGCGAAACTAGTGAAAGGCGCGCGACACGCGGAACGAAGACGACGACGGCCACGACGACGGGTCACGGGTGGAATTGCCACGGTCAACGGAGCGCCGGGTGAGTAGCGATCTTCGTTTCACCTTCCTCCTCTCGCTCGCGATCGCCTCGCCGATCGTCGTCGTAGACGTTAATGCGACTGGATATATTCTCGCGGCTACATATCAAGTTTTTCACGTCAGCTTTCTCCAATAAGTTTTTTTTACAACGCTCGCATAGAATCCTATTTATACATGACACGCACCAAACGGTATGTACGATCGCACGACGCTCCGCTCACGAATCCGCAACGCGCGATCAATTGTGTCACTTCGCATTTTTCGTGACATCGCACACATACGACGATGAGTACGTGCGTGCGTGCGTGCGTGCGTGCGTGCGTGCGTGCGTACTTGGGTGCGTGAAACCAGCCGCGTGCATACGAGACTTTCGCGTTCTCGCGACTCCGGGGTGACTGACACCTGATGCGTCGATGACCGTGCCATGCGTAGAAATATGGAATCCATCCGTTGAATAGCGACATGTCATGCGAAAAGATCGCGCGCCGTTTATTTTTGTCCGATGACAAAATACCGCCGCATTCCGGCGCCTTGGAAACAATCATCTGCGTTATGCAAACACGCATTTTTTTTTTTTTCGCGCGGAGGGAGGACGCGCGATCCGGAGAAAGCGTCAGATGGCGTCGCGTCCTTCCGGGGACAGTATTCGCGCGGTGAGTCGCGACTTCCTAGGCCGAAAATGCGTATTTATCGTGAACGACGCACTGAAAGTTCCACGTATTGAGGACAATTTTTGATCGAAAAAACGAATCGGGAGATTCTGATCGCACATCAATCAAAATTCTGCAGGTTATTGGCTTCCAAAAATTCCTCTCCCAGGAGAATTTTACTCAAAGTATATACAGTATACGTAATGTAGGCTAACGCCGATTTTTTTATATTGAGTACAATTTTTTTTCAAGAGAACATTTTGGAAAATAGCCTAAAATTGTAATACATTTAACCAGAAAATTCTGATTCGTCCCTTTTCAATCCGAATCCCAATTAATGCAGTCTGATCCTTTTTCCAGTGCAATCGATGATTTTGAAGATGTATTTTTTTAGCGTATTTTGCATGTTAAATGCATTCGTAAATAACATCCAAAACTGTTATTTCCGTTATTCATACATCATTTATACATTTTATATGTATATTTGATACACTTGTATACCACCACCACACACACCACCACCACCCACATTTTTATGTATTCCTCAATGCCGAAAACCAAAGTACGTCGTAAAACTAAAGTGCGTCGACGTTGCAATTTTAAATTCTAACGGGTTCGTATCTCGGTATTTTAAATTCTAACGCGCGTTAATAGAATTTTAAATTTTGACGTGCACATGATATAGGGAGAACACGTCAAATATAACTTATCAGTTAGCGTTAATCAGATTCATATCTGAGGAGGTTTCTAGAATCGAACGTAACGTGAAAACGAACATTTGTACAGTGAGCGTAAAATACTATTAATATACATGCGTATAATAATTTAATGAAAATGAGAGAAAAAGAGAGTATAAAACATTAATCCATTCTTATTATAAATATTTTTCACCGAATCTTACTTTGTTAGTTATTCACAGACTACTATTTAGCAGATTTAGCTGGTAGTGAATTTTTAGTTTTACACGGAATAGCAATACGTGTTTATTTATACTACAGAATTCTGAGACTTTGTTTTCGACGTAACTATTTTATCAGAGTTGTTTGTTTTTACCGACTTTTTGTGTGAGAACCATAAATCCTGGTAAAATTGCAGCTACGAGAAGAATCATTGATAAGTTGAAATTATCTAAATTTTAATATATAACCCCTTATTTCTTTGTTAATCAGAATTGATTGCGTCTTAATTAAAACATCGAAGCAACCTGTGAACAGTTTCTAAAATATAAACGATTGTAAATGAAGATGCGAATGAAACTTCTGGGAGCGTTAAATTAAATATAACGAAACTTTATTATTCATTTAAATTGACTTTACTTTCCTGAAGTTTGGATTCAACGTTTAATTATGAGAATAGTATTGAATATTATACACTTGCGGCAAAAGATGACGATTTTCTCGGTGGTTTTTCAGGTGGAGAATGGGAGAGGGGAAAAATGCAAATTTATTGAAGAACCTATAAGTTAAAATTAAAAATTATACGAAACGGGATTCTGGAACATACTGTGTGAACAAGATTATAATAACTGTAAGAGAAATTCTGTAGTTGAATTCTACGTAACGCTGCTAATTCCCGCGACGAGGAAATTTTGAATAAAGTTATTTTATAATATTACATTTGTATTTTGTAATTTTATGTAGATATTTGAGGCATTTTAAATATTTGTTTACAAACATTCATAGAATATATATTTCAAAACACTATTGTGCAGTTCTGAAACTAATCGATTGTACTACGGACAACTGTTTACATATAAATACATTGCCCATTAATTTTCGTTGTAATTGATCTAATTAATAATTAATTAATTTCGTGCCACGAATTAAGTTTCGTTTTAACGAGAACAACACGTCGACAATTTGTAAATTTATTACTTTATTTTGTATATTTATTAGAAACATGTATTTTTTTTAGACGTAAAAAGTTTTTAAACTTATAGTCTTATCATTTAACTTCAAAGAATAGATATACATATTTATCGCAAAAGAAAAATAGTACATTGTGTAACATGTGTGATAAGTTGTCTATTACACGACACGGGCGCGCGAGCGAGCGCTCCCTCGCGCCCGTGTCGCGCAATAGACAATTAGCACATAAGTTGCACATAGATTTTTTCCTTACGAGTGCACTGTGTTATACAATTATATAAATTCGCACGAGCGAAGCGAGTGTGACTTATGGGGTGGTGCGTGGGGCGCAGCCTCCCCCGACTAAGAAATTACAATATTAATTATTACATGTTGAAGGACACTTATACAATGGGTGCTTTCCAGCAAGGACAGAATCAGACCCTGTGTAACACAGAGAATCATTTCATTCTCGTTTAACGTAGGCAAACAACAGGGATGCAATGATTCCCTGTGTTACACAGTGTCTACTTGTGTCGTAGCTGGAAACCAGCCAATATTAGTTATGACACGTTGAAGGTACTTACAATCTTGGTAAAATGGCCCCGTTCACAAATTTCTGATCTATCGGGACGAGTATGGCCAGTATCGAAAAGTTGCTACAGGCGACGAGTAACAAAAGTCAAATGAGAACAAAGTCAACAAAGATGAAAAACGGCGCGACTCGAACGAACACCGGGCGGGCGGGCGCCAGCGTCGACGCAAGTTAGGTTTCTCTGTGTTGTTATTGGTGTTACCAGTGCTACCACCCTACCACTGCCTTGCGTTATTTAGGTTTCTCTGTGTTGTTATTCGTGCTACCAGTGCTACCACCCTACCACAGCGTTGCGTTATTTTTCATAACGCAACGCTTTTGCGAAATAACTCAACGGCTTGAGTTATTGGCTGCTATTTACCGCACACAAAAGCGTTGCAGTATAGGGCACATTACGTGCACGCGTGAGGAAAAAATAATAAATCACCGTTAGATTTCATAACTTTGTGTTAGCAAAATGCAAGTTAAAAGTTAAACGAGTTAGGGAAAATGAGATGTGCACTGTCGCGGAAACTATTCTTACGATA